CCGTTGCCAGCTTCATAGAGTTCCTGGCTGTTCTTTGGGGCTGTTTAGTGTCTGAAGTTTATAAGTAAACTGCAACCTTTTAAAGGTTGTGGACAGACGCGTACTTTTTGATAGCGACCTTTAGAAGGTTTTGGACTTTAAAAGAAATAAAAGATCAAAATGTTGATATTTTTAAGTCACTTAAATACATATCGAGTAAATATGAGAAAATGTGAGAGAAAAAAAGAAAAAGGAGAAAAAAAAGACCTTGGAAGCCGACCGCAAGGCTAGCTTGTACTGCATCAAAGCACTAGAAGACAGGATTGACGGCTTGAAGCGCAAAGCTCGATCGCGCGGTATTGAAATGAGGATAGAGAGATACGGGATATTTTTAGGCTTAAATCTAAGTCTAAATCGTCTACACCTAACCCTATAATAGTTGAATTTGCCAACGCCAACATAAAGGAGGAACTTCTTACCTCAATGAAAAAGTACAGGAAGAATAAAAACAAATCACTTACAACCGAGAATTTAAAGATAGCAGGTCCCTCGGCAATTGTTTACATTTCGGAGGATCTTACTCCGAGAATTAAGCGATTATTTTACATTGCTCGGAATTTCGATCATGACATTATTGTCGTGATTCAAATTCCGAGCAATGTAATTGTTTATAAATACATATGGACGAGTCACGGTTAAGTCTACATACTGCAAAGCAGAATCCAGCCCGGCCATACGAATCAACAGTGAGGTGGACCTTGACAAACTCATAACTAAAAACTGACTATGTAACGTTACAATACCGTTATCTTGGCTAATACTTATTACATTTTTTTCAACTTTATATAGTATGTTGAAACGTTATTCGTGTATTTCTTTTATTAATTTCTGTAAATTGCGTACTTTGCTTAAACACTTTTACCATTACACAACAATATAAGCTACTCGCACATAAATATGACTCTTTAAAATATTGTTTTAAATATTACATATTACTACACTACACTTATCATATTCCAAAAATATTACTTTATTACCTTTGTATGAAATTTGAATATCATTATTATGTTAAATCATATTTTAAGCAGCTTATATGTTACGATTCTATAATAAAATTAACACATGAAATAAATGTATTTAACGTATTTACCTACCAAGAACATGAATGCCTACTTATATTTAAGGTTTATCATAACATTATTGCAACTTATAGCTGTTTCGGTTCTGTTTTTAATATGCTACAGTTTTTCAATGAATTAAGTATTTTATCTCTTTACGTACTTATGAACGAATATTTACGAAATCATTTTAAATTATTGATGGTAGCACAGATATTTGTCTAAAGGTAACAACAATTGTTTTATCATCCAAATTTACAACTACCCACCTTGTCCTAAGAATTACGCATTGGAATTTTTAATAGTTAAACGTCAATTCTATAAATACTATCGTTGATAGAGCTGAGCGGAGCTGCCGCTGTCGCGTGTGTAGCGCAATTGGGGGCAATTTCAATCTATTCGTTGGTGACTTTCGCACAGAGCAGACGTGTGGGTACAAATCACAATGGATTGATGAATTAAGAGTGTGAAATTAGGACGCGGGTGACAGAAGTGTATTAAGAGCGGCTTTTTCATCTAGTATATCGTTTTTCTCTTTTTGTGGTGGCACTGCGGAACGAACTTTATTTGAACGTAACGTTTTTTAACGTATTAACGTTTCTTAACGTGGTAACGTTTTTTAACGTGGCAACGTTTTTAAATATGGTAACGTACTTTAAAAGTGGTAGAGTCACGCTGCAGCTTATAAGCACTATATTTTATTAGTAATTATAAAGAGTACACTTACCATCAGGTGGACTGTGTTCGTTTGTCATCCTTATTCTATACTAGTTGATAACCGTTGTGTGCTACTAGCTAAAAAGGAAATATATAAAGAAAGAAATAAAGAAAGGAAGAAAAAGTTTATTTGGTACATACATTATAACAAAAAGAATAAAAATAAAACATTTTTTATATCTTATCAAAATATTTAAAAAAGGAATAACATAATATGTACCAAAATGGTCTCCACTCAGCTTTAAGTCACGAATTGAAGATATAAATACATCAATTCGTAACGCTGATTTTCAGTGGAGCCAGGAGTGTGAGGCAGATGACAATTCAAGAGCAAGAGACAAGGCGATAGAAGAAAGAACTAAACATAAATATAAAATAAAATGAAAAAAAATACTGTCAAAATTCCACGTGTCAGCGCAACATTAATAGTGTACAAACGGTGGTATACATACAAAAAATTTATGTATGTGTGCATGTGTGTTTGAGTGTGTGAGTGCGTTCGTATGTGCATGTACGGTGCTAGCATCGAGATTGAATCATACCATTTATGCCTGTTTGCTGGATTTTTGTACAGAAATCAGAAACTTTTTTAATAAATTTTTAAAAGTGGCAACTGTTTTACTATTTCTGATCGGTGGTGGTATGTAATTCCAGCATTTCTTGGCAGCGATACGGAAACTACCACGTCAGGCAGCTGTGTGATGCTTAGGGTATGTGAGTCGTGATGCTATCCTAACCGCACGCTGTGAGAAAACAAGCTTTTTGGTACAAGTATGATGGTTCCCTGGTATTTATAAATCCAAAAAGCAATGACGCAATGTGGAAGGTACGTCGAGCAGCCATACTCATCAGGTCATGTCAATTTAAAATTGGGGTGATGTGTGATCTCTTAGGGACTGTGAAGCAGAAACGTGCGCAGGCATTTTGAACCCTTTGTATTAATTTTTTGGTTCTAGCGAGCAAACATTCTCCAAATACTGTATCCGCATAGGTTAGCTTCGACAGAATGAGTGATTCACACAATCTAATGCGCATGTCCACTGTCAAATACTCTCTGATCTGGTACAAGACTTTGAGTCTATAGAAACAGTTACGCATGGTTACATGATACATGACTCTCAAAACGCAACCTTCCGTCCATAAAGATTTTAAGTTAATTTAAAGTTCCGAGCTTCCAACACACGTTCTAAAGGAGTAGTCTTGATGTTAATTTGCGGGTTGAAAGTTGGAATATTATTTGTCTGGTTATGCATTCCCAGTAACATATAATTCGATTAGGGAATGGGGTTCAATACGAGATTATTTTGATCACACCAATCGGCTATGCGGTCTAAATCTGAGTTGATTTTTTTATTGCTATATTGGTGACACCGGGTTTAAAAGACATATACAATTGAAGGTCGTCAGCATATATATGATAACTACATTTTTTATGGTGTTCACTATATTATCTGAACAATACAATATAAAAAGTATAGGGACCAAAATGGATCCTTGAAGTACACCTCTTGGAACTGGCAACGTGGTAGATATCCATTCTGATCCATTGTCGTTATTTATTTTAACAAATTGTATACGACTAATGAGGTAACTTGCAAACTATTTTATTGTTAAATTATTAAATCCGTAGTAAGAGAGTTTTTATAAGAGTAGAGTGATGTTAATGGTATAAAAAGCTGGGGAAAAGTCAATTAAAACTAACAGAGTACCCTCTCCAACATCTTGTGCAGTCAGAATATCATCCACTACATCCATCAGAGCGGTTGAAGTGCTACGAAACTTCAACCGCTCTGATGGATGTAGTGGATGATATTTTGTTGACCTTGTGCATTTGTTGTCCTGAATAAATATATAAAAGGAAATGATAAATATACATAATTATTTTAATATTGTAACATAAATAAATAAATAAATAAAAGCACAACCAGATGGAGGCCCTTGGCAGGGGAGACCAAACAGCCGAGGGTTAGGAGGAAAGGGAAAGAAACCGGCGGACGATGCGGGCGGTATCGAAGAGCACCGCCTCCTGCATTTGAGCCTGAAGCGGTCTGTCACGGAGTCCCAGCCGCCTCAGATTACCTGAGAGGCTGACTGGGATTAGTCCGTTTGCAGAAACGACTACAGGAATAATTTCGGTCGGCAGACCATCCCACACGTCGGTCATCTCGTGAGCCAGGTTCTCGTCATACGGAATGGTAATGTCGACCAAAAATATCCTTGACTGTGCCCGGTCCATCAGAACAATATCAGGCTTATTCGCAAGAATAGTCCTGTCTGTGATGATGGCCCGGTCGGTCCCAGTAGAGCCTGGCGCGATCATTTTCGAGCACAGCTTCTGGCAAGTACTTGTAATACGGCAATTTCCGGTCCACGAGACCGTATTTCAGAGCGAGCTCCTGGTGCAGAATTCTGGCTACTAGGTTGTACCTGTGCTAATACTCAGAGTTAGAAAGCGCCGAACAACCGGCGATGACATGCCTTAGTGACTCACCGGGATGGCCACAAGCTCGACAGATGTCGACAATGCCATCCTTTAAGATGTATCTCCGATAGTTGTTGGTCTCAATAATCTGATCCTGTATTGCACAGACAAAACCCTCGGTTTCCCCGAAGAGATCACCAAAGCGTAGCCAGTGGAGGGAGGCTACTGTGTCTACGAAAGGCTCACGTAGAGCCTTGTAAAACCTCCCGTGGAGCTCCTTCTCCTTCCATACGGTCTCCCGGTCGGAAATGCTCTGTATTGCTGGGTCTTGCCATTGCTATTTGGCTAAGGATAGAAGGGTGAGTCCTTTATCACAAGAAATGACGTTCTTATAGAATTGAACATCCGATCTCGCAAGGAAGTAATTACGGAGGCTGTACACTTCGCGATTGTGCATAGTGAGTGCGCTCAAAAAGCCACGCCCAGCATGCTTTCGCGGCAAGTATAGCCTCATTACCGACGATCTGAGATGATACATCTTATGGGACGTCATAGTAGTGCGGACTTTTCTATCCAGGGCGTTAAGTTCAGTCTGAGTCCACCTGAGTATATAGATGCCATAAGATGCCAAAGGTATACATGAGGACAGGTATGACATAACCCACCGTGTATGCGTGTGTCTTATTCACACCAGACAAAAGACTGTTAAGCACGTTGGTCAAGCGCGCATATAACACGTCGCAAACTGACTGCTTCATACCGCTTTACCGATTCCGCTTGCTTAGAGCTATGCAGGGAAGTCGCGGTCGATTTTTGAGAGGCATACTGCGCGTTTCCACAATCGCCTCTGCCAATGTAATCCTCATTTGCTCTATTTCTAGTTCCTGGGCGACTATTCCATCATCATTTGAATCAGCCACCACTGGGGTATTTACGGCAGCATCCACGTGTGCGAGTTGTTCTGCAACTTGTGGCACCGCAACCTCAGCCGTAGTACTTACACTCGATGAGGGAACAGCCTCACGTCGTAGCCGTTCGAGTTCGGTGCCATCAAATATACGAGTATTTGAGCGCAAGATATACCGAACTCGGTCTGCCAGGTTATGCTTGGTGACGGTTACAGATGGCTCCAGCTCAGCAAAAAGTCGATGCATCCTTGCTCGATACGCAAAACCTCGTATTTCTCCCCCTTTCGCCCTAAAATACACCCGCAATGCGTTACTGTTCGTCGATATTGTCCAACGCATGCGGCGCACTCCATCAGTGGCGGGTGCCAATAGCTGGGCCCGCAAAGACCCTGCCGACACCAAGCCTGCTGGTGGGGATGATGGATGCGAGGGGCTACTAAGTGGTCGTGCAGCAGCTCGCGCTCCTCTGGCGGTTCATATGCTGTCGCGTCCAGCGCCAGCTCCAAACGCACCCTGGCGACCTCCAGGCAGCGGCCCTTTGCGCGTTCTATAAAATTCCATCATCCATTTTATGGGCGTCATTTAACGGAAGACGCCCAGACCCGGCGCCGTTTCCTGGTGAGGCCATGCCAACCTTCAATTTATGCCGAGGCACGGCACTAACACCTCTTGGCAAGGTGCTGACTGACTGCGGTGACGTAGCGGTTTTGTCACGAAACCGTTACGTCAACGGGCGATGGAGTCGTTACTCCCCTACGTTTTATTATTATTGGGGTATCTATATAATTTTCTCACCTGGTTGAGTTCTATAAATATATAATTATAAATTAAAATGAAAAGATAAATATACACACTTCATAAATAAATAAGATCCAACCAGATGGGAGCCCTCGGCAGGAGAGACTAAACAGCCGAGGGTTAGGGGGAAAGGGAAAGAAACCGGCGGACGATGCGGACGGTATCGAGGAGCACAGCCTTCTGCATTTGAGCTCGGAGCGGTCCGTCACGGAGTCCCAGTCGCCTCAGATGACCCGAGAGGCTGACTGGGATTAGCCCATTCGCAGAGACGACTACAGGAATAATTTCGGTCAGCATACCACCCCACATGTCAGTCACCTCGTGAGCCAGGTCCAGATATTTTGTTCGTTTATCTGTTTCGGCTTTCATGAGGTTCTCGTCATACGGAATGAATGTCGATCAAAAATATCCTTGACTGTGCCCGGTCCTAGTAGAGCCTGGCGCGGTCATTTTCGAGCACTGCTTCCGGCAAGTACTTGTAATACGGCAATTTTCGGTCCACGAGACCGTATTTCAGAGCGAGCTCCTGGTGTAGAATTCTGGCTACTAGGTTGTGCTCAGAGTTAGAAAGCGCCGAACAACCGGAGATGACATGCCTAAGTGACTCCCCGGGATGGCCACAAGCTCGACAGACGTCGACAGTGTCATCCTTTAGGATGTATCTCCGATAGTTGTTGGTCTTAATAACCTGATCCTGTATTGCACAGACAAAACCCTCGGTTTCCCCGAAGAGGTCACCGAAACGTAGCCAGTTGAGGGAGGCGGCTGTATCTACGTGAGGCTCATGTAGAGCCCTGTAGTACCTCCCGTGGAGTTCCTTCTCCTTCCATACGGTCTCCCGGTCGGAAATGCTGTACTACCGGGTCTTGCCATTGCTCGTTGGCTAAGGATAGAGGGGTAAGTATTTTATCACTAGAAATGACGTCATTATAGAATGGATCATCCGATCTCGCCAGGAAGTAATGACGGAGGTTGCACACTTCGCGATTATGCATGGTGAGCGCGCTCAGGAAGCCACGCCCACCATGCTTTCGCGGCAAGTACAGCCTCATTACCGACGATCTCGGATGATGCATCCTATGGGACGTCATTGTAGTGCGGACTTTTCTATCCAGGGCGTTAAGTTCAGTCTGACTCCACCTGAGTAAGCCAAAGGTATACATGAGGACAGGCATGACCCAACCGTTATATTCACACATACGCATGTGTCTTATTCACACCGGACAAAAGGCTGTTAAGCATTTTGGTCAAGCGTGAATAAAACACGTCGCAAACTGACTTTTTCATACCAGCCTCATCGATACCGATGTTCTGTGACATACCCAGGTATCGGTATGTTTCAGCCTCGGAAAGGGCCCTTAGTTGACGGGCATAGATAAGTCTATGCCCTCAGAGTTAGCAACCCTTCCCCTTTCAACATGGAGGACCTCACACTTATCCGTCCCCAGCTCCATTTTAATAGAATTGGTAAATTCACAAGTGATGTTTAGCAATTCCATAAGATGGGAGCGACTGGAAGCGAATAATTTGAGGTCATCCATATAGAAAAGGTGGGTCACTTTTGTACCTCCTTTCCGAAGCTGAAATCTCCTCCCGGAGCCCTCCAGTAAAGTACTGAGAGGGTTCAAATAGAGGCAGAACCAGATTGGACTCAGACAGTCGCCTTGGAATATACCCCTTCTTATCCTTATGCGGCTTTCCGCAGCCGTCATCCGCTCGCCTAGATGACAGAGGATCGTACTCCACTGCCCCATACACTACTCGAGGGAAGTCTCGAACTGTACAGTCAATCTTGTACAGCTCGAGGACCCTCTTTAGCCATGTATGGGGCACCGAGTCAAATGCCTTTCTGTAATCTATCCAGGCGGCGAAGAAGTTCCGACGGTTGCGTTTCACCACTTTGCCAATGACCGCGTCAATGAGGAGTGGTTCCTTGGTTCTACAACCGCCGCCCCGACATCCAATTTTGAGCGCGCGACATCACCTGATTTGAATCCAGGTGACGAGCGATTCTCGCGCTCAAAATGGATGTTAGTGTCTGGTATATGGTTGGTAGACACGTGATGCGGCGGTATTTGCTCGGTTAGTTAAGAGGCTTGGGAGCGACTTCGGGTGAGAGCCTCTTGAAACTGTCGGGCGAGCACAGCGTGACACACCATGAACCCCTTCAGCCAGTAGTGATGCAGCCCGTCAAGCCCCGGACTTCTCCAGTTCGGGGCCCTACGGACCGCCTCAGCTACGTCATCCGGCGTTATGATGACGGGGTCCATGGGCGTAATACCCGCACACTGACTCGCCACAACTTCCGTCCAAGGGCCCTCGCTGTGATTTACGGGCTCTGACCACAGGCCGCGCCAGAATGCTACAGTGTCGGCCTGATTCGGTGCTGGACCCGTTCCACTTACCATTGGTCGCTCCAATGATTTATAGAGCCTCTTCTGATCACTCTGGAAGAGACGATTCTGGTTGAACCGTGTCGACCTCTCGGTATATCGCCGAATCCGCTTTCCCCAAGCAGCGATTCTCTGCTTCAGATCATCTATGCGCTCCGTCAGTTTTTGCGTTATATCCGGCTGGGACAAACTGACATTTGTCCCAGCAAACGCCATCCTGACGGTGCGCACAATTCTTGGCCTGTTGTTGCCTGATCTGAAGCATATCAGTCTGCCGATGAGAGCTCTAGCCTTTGCTACGTTACGTTACTTTGATACGTTCCTCAATTCTTCTTCTCCGTGCTGGGATAGCGCTACTATGGCCAGTAGCACGTCCAGCCGTGGAAACCTTGGCGCCTATGATACGGCAGACTGCCAGCGCGGCGCCAAAAGGAATTGAGTCCGTCTCGCAAAGGTCCCGGCTGGCTTCCAAATAGGTAACCAGCATTGGGTTCAGAGCCCTCACGACAGCCCGATTCCGCTTGCTTAGGGCTAAGCGGGGAAGTCGCGGTCGATTTTCGAGAGGCGTACTGCGCGTTTCCACAATCGCCTCTTCCAATGTACTCCTCATATGCTCTAATTCCAGTTCCTGGGCGACTGTTCCATCATCGTTTGAATCAACCACAACTGGGGTATTCACGTTTGCGGGTTGCTCTACCATTTGTGACGCCGCATCCTCAGCCGTAGCATTCTCATCCGACGAGGGAACAGCCTCACGTCGCAGCCGTTCGAGTTCGGCGACATCAAATATATTTGAGCGCAAGATATACCGAACTCGGTCTGCCAGGTTTTGCTCTGTGACGGTTAAAGATGGCTCCAGCTCAGCAAAAAAACGATGCATCCTAGCCCGATACGCCAAACATCCAGTTTCTCCCCCTTTCGCCCTAAAATACGCCCGCAATGCGTTGCTGTTCATCTGGGTTGTCCAACGCATGCGGCGTACTCCACCAGAGGCGGGTGCCGATTGCTGGGCCCGCGAAGACCCTGCCGACACCAAGCCAGCTGGTGGGGATGATGGATGCGAGGGGCTGTTGGGTGTTCGTGCAGCACCTCGCGCTCGGCTGGCGGTTCGCATGCTGCCGCGTCCAGCGCCAGCTCCAGACGCGCTCTGGCGACCTCTAGGCAGCGGCCCTTTGCGCGTTCTATTTAATTCCATCATCCATTTTTAGGGCGTCATTTAGCGGGAGACGCCCAGACCCGTCGCCGTTTCATTTTTTGCCTTTGCACCTTCAATTTTTGCCGAGGCACGGCACTAACACCTCTTGGCAGCGGGCGATGGGGTCGTCACTTCCCTACGCCTAATTACTATTATAATTATTATTATTATTATTTCTGTATAATTTACAATTTGTAGCTGGTAGTTTTCGCTAACATTCGTAAGCTCCTGACGTTTCCTTACAAAATTCGCCGAAAAGAAGAAGCCTCCACAAATTTTCGTTTTCGTCTACCGTCGTACCCACTGACGATACGTCCATTTAGTATACTCGTACTTCCAAAACAAACAATCGACTACTTGGCGACGTCAGACGTGGAGTACTGGGTAACCCACCCTATAGCCCCGACCACGCAGCTTGCAATTTTTATTTATTTTCAAAAATTAAAGAGAAACTTCGAGGAACACGTTTTATGGACGCCGAGGAAGCAGTGGCAGCGTTTCAAAATGCCGTCGAAGAGACCTCTGAGGACTAGTGGGCAAAGTGCTATTCTCAGTGGTTCCATCGGATGCTACGATGTATTGATGTAAATGGACACCATTTTTAAAAGATATAATAAAACTAATAAATTGCTAGTTCGTTCAGTTTTTGATTTTCTAAGAACTTTCAGTGTCACCCTCGTAAGTTAGCTTGTCAGTACAATTCTATAAAAAAGCCACGCTGCGGTATTATGGCTGTAACACGAACGGGAAGGATCACGCTTGGATGACTTTAAAGAACTAAAGAGAAAAAAATATTTTTGTACGGCTTCTGTAGTCGGAGCGTTAATAGTTTTCATCGCAAAGCATTTATTTCCACACTTAGCGTAATTACGTTTCAAATGTAAAGCAAAGTCACAGCTAATATGTATGTTAAGGTCTATGCACATGGAAACCTTGCAGTGGCAGTATAAGAATATCCTTGGAGTCACACTGACCGCCTTCAGTTGTTATGGGTTAAATTTTTGTCGAGCTTCAACTATGGGTGGTTCATTGAGTCCACAGTCAAAGCAGTCGCAAGGAAACCTGGTGTTCTTGCAAGGGTGCGGCGGTACTTCACACCGGGGCAGCTTCTTACCTTTTAAAAAGCCATCAGGTGGACTGCAAGTCCGATCGTGCGTGGAGTACTGCTATCACATATGGGCTGGTGCTGCAAAATGCCACCCGGCAGCGTTGGACTCAGTGCAGAGACGGGCTAAGAGGCTCATTTGTGACCTTAATTTGATTGAAACCAACCTTGTCAGTCTCGAGCATAGGCGCAGAGTAGCCAGCCTCTCGGTATTCTATAGGATGGACAACAAAGAGGTGAAGATCGACCAGGCGATTGGTCGGTCTTCACCTTTTTGCTGTCGATATTCCACGCATTACGTCTACTTTTTTAATACGCACAGCAAGAGTGCCAAAATTTGCCAGCGTCTATCTTTCTGTCCGAATACAATCTGGGCGTCTTCAAGGCGAAAGTGAATAGGCTTTTGTTACGGTAAGACATTGCTATTTACCGTCTAAGGCTGCATCACTACTTACTACATGGTAGAATTCAAACGCTGGCTTCTAAAATGTAAAAAAAAAACAATTTTGGATGTAGATAATAGATAGGTAGCTGAATAACCGAACTATATCCCCTGATTTATTTATCATAAGTTTTCTAAATTGCTTCTACTAAAAAAGCAAAATTTAAGACGTATTCACGTCAAAATTAACACAAAAATGTTAAAAATTACACATTTTGACGCTGTCATGTATGAATATCTTAAATTTGGTATGTTTTGTTATAAATAATATACTTTTGTTCACAAAGTTAAGATATACTATACAGGGAAACTTGAGGCATACTGAAAGACTGACTCAGTTTATTCAATTATTTATTTATTTATTAGGATTACCAACAGAAATTACAACAATAATACAAATATCATTTTCATAACATATTAAGCACATTATAATTGCATTTTTTTTTATAGGTAATCACAACGTGCATTGATTATTTAGTACATGAAAGGATTATATGACAAAAAAAATACGTGTGGCACTCGGGGACTGCCGCGGTAAAGCTATTGCATAGCATTTTTTATCAACTTATGCAATTATAATTATTTATTTATTTTATTTATGGTACCTACTTTTCCTTTAGTTGGAGCCTTTCTTAAAAGTTTTGCGGAAATCGAATATATTTTTTGACAACACTCGGATGGACTTCTAATGATCAATCTTTCTGGCTAGAGATGGACGGGAATTGTCCTAATTCTCAACCCGTTGAAAGTTCTTATTAACTACTAAAGTTACTATAATATTAAGGAACACATTAAGAGCCTCTTGCATTTTAGAGGGAATATCTTTGTCATTCCTATTTTTTTAAACAGGGAGTGTGTCACGGGCCTATGGTCAGCAGAACCTTTAAAAATATGCATGAATGTGCCGGCTCGACCGGGGGAAGGACGGGCTTCCACAATCTCATGAACACAGCGGGACACTGAAGGCTGCGACACATAATACCTGAAAAATATACCAATAATTACATGAAACATCTGTTTTTTTGTAAGCTAAAATATTATAGGGTCTCTCATTTAGATTGGTATGTTGGAGACCACTTGACTAAGTTAGCCGCTTATCTAAGTTATGCAAAGTACGTTTTAGTTTCATGGCAGCCACTTAGGTATACACAGTTATGCAAAGAAGTTTGATTTTTCTATAAAGTCTGTGTTTATTAAATACTCTAAATTCACGAAAATTGCTAGCATGACGACGACTCATATAAATCCAAAGAATATGCTTCTTGCAATAAACTAAGTATTGTATAAAATATTTTTATTATCCTACAATACATGCAACTAGTCTACACGCATACGTCTAGTCGCACGCACACAAACACCGTGCCGAATTCTGCTGAACTGAAACGACGTGGGACGATGTTAGGTTTTGGAGTCTTAGGTTAATTTCGTTACGGAATTTCTTGATTCGGTCGCCGCGTTCAAAGCCCGCGATAATAGCTATGCAATAGCTTAAAACTTGAATTACATTACAGTTTAATGTCAACCACTAGCTCTATAGGAAAAATTGTTCATCTATGTGTATAAAAAATTTTATGCACTGACTACAGAGTTTCAATCACTCCCAAAAGTACGTTTTTGCAGGATTGTTAAACAATGGCTTGAGGAGCAATGCTTCTACTCTGTTGAAGAATATTTAAAATTTATGATTAGGATTAGGCATCGATATTAAAAAAAAGCTCAGTAATTACAATTATATTATTTTTATGTAATTAAATGAAATAAAATATTTATGATGCATTTTAAAATATGTTATTTATTATATATGAGTTGTGAAAATGTAATTTATGTATTAGATAAATATTTGTATGTCAACATTATGACAAAACACGCTGGACTTAAATAATTTATCAACCTGTAATATACCATGTTTTCTGCAAATAAATTATGATATATAGGTATGATTATGAAAATACTAATAACAATAAAATATTTTATCAAATTAATAAGATATTTATTATACTCGTTAATTAAAAACTATTTTAATTTCTTAATTTTTGTAGGTGTGAGTGTGTAGCCCAGACGACATCAATATAATTTCTAATAGGAATAGTATATAAAGAATAGTAGCTATCAAAGTCCTAGTACTAACAACACATATCTCATTGACACATCCTTACTATTCTATTAATTGTTGAAGCTCTCTGTATCTATTAATTAAGTTCAGTACGCTTAGAGATACGTTAACTATGTCCATATAATTTAACTCGATGTTTATTAACATCCCGAGAATAGATTAATTGTTATTTACTGGTGTTGAAAACTATACCTATGAATCGAGATCCGTCGCTACATTAATACTTGCTTCTGATTTTATCGCAATAAGTGGGATTAACTTCTGTCACCTGGCACCTAGCGTGCGTGCGGGCGTGCTTCCGTAAATAATAATAGAAATAAAATATAAATAAAATATTGCGTACCTAATATAAATAAAATATTTTCATGATGTAAAAGCACTCCAGCACGTTATTTTGCTGGACGTTTATTCTTCAGTTCTTCGCATAGCTTTTTCATTTGTAATAATCTCCGGTTGTTGTCCCTTCATTTACTTAGATATTCGATCTTTATGTAACTTCCGCATCCCATTGGTTTTTCGTCTCCGGGCCAGATTTGCGTATCTACGTTTCATCTACAGTTAAAAAACGAGCGCAAAAAGAATCTGGATGCTGTTCAATTATTGCTATATTTAGCTTTGAAGTATTAACGTGCTTTCTTTTGGGCGTCTTTTAACATACAAGGAATCCAGCGCACGGCCGCACGGCCACCTTTTTTAATTTTAAGTTTTGAGTTAGAATAAACTGAATTGTCCTAAACGAAAGCTTTAAAATCTCAGGTATATAACGGATGGTTAAACGTCGATCTATCGTATGTTCTGCCGCATTTAAATTCAGCGCACCATTATGTCACCGTAAAACAAGACGGAGCATTGTCTGCTAAAATAAACAGTTCTTCAAAAACACTTTAAAAAAAATCAGGCAGAAATATTTTAATAACCGCACGAAGTTGTAGTTTCTCTATTTTTCGTATGGAGTAAGCTACCGTCTATTGTAAAGTTTGAAAAAAAAGTTTATATACCCCTACTACACTACCCTGAATCAGGCTCCCTATGCCCGTATTCAGGGTGGTGTAATAAGAGAAAGGGAGTAAGGGTCCCTAATTAGGGCGACAAAGTGCACCCTGTCTGCAGTGCCCTTGCCACCGTGTAGTGTAATAACACTTAGGGTAGTTAGGGATGAAAACGATACATCAATTCTTTCAAACATCGGTATATCGTTCATAAATATGGTTATTCATGAGCGATGTTTTATGAACGATGTTTTGGCTTGCCGTCAAAGGTTTCGAAATAACCGACTATTTGAAGGTACGCACTACACGTCAAACGTCCCGATACCATCCACACCATCTGGATGCTTGGCGGTCCACCAATGTACGTTTCACAAGGAGTTTTTTTCCACGTACAACCTCTCTGTGGAATAGTTTACCACCGGCGATTTTTCCGGACCGATACGACCTGGGGACCTTCAAGAAAAGAGCTTACTCCTTTCTAAAGGGCCGGCAACGCACCCGCAATTCTCCTGGTGTTGCGGTTGATCATGGGCGGCGGTAGTCACTTAACATCAGGTGAGCCACATGCTCGTTTGCCCCTTCTTCTATAAAAAAAAAAGGTATAAAATTCTGTATGTTAAAAGTTGCCAACGATGATTATCACGAATCTTATATCGCCGAAAAATAAATATACCAAAAAAATATATCTCAAAGTTAAATAATGTCTAAATTTTTAAAGTTAGAAGGTTTATTTAGCAGAAATATCACAATCCCGAAAATTTTAATTACTTTATTTTTGATGTAAAATTGTGGTTTATTTTTATTGTGGTAATGAATTAACATAAGTTTACAATTAATATTGAAAATGGATTGGAATGGTTTTATTCAATTTTTTATTAATAATTATATTGTTTGAGCTTTAACTTAATCAATAGCTTAAGCACAGTTTTTTAGAGTAATAGTTATTTTGTATTGGAAATTATTTTATCGGCTTACGGTACTTCGTATTTCGTTACAATCACTTTTCTGAAACATTGATTTTGATGGATGAGCGGTTATTCAACTGCTTGTGTTTCGGTATAGTTTAGTAGATGTATTCAGAAAATGCGATAATACTGAAGGTGATATATGGAACTACCATAAAGAAGTAACGCACCAAAATATAAGAAATAAAACTAAAGCAGAAGAAGAGTTTCATATATTACATGCGTTGGAGATGTGGTTAGTTACGAGTAAATAAATAAAGGGTTATTTCCCGGGTTTCATAGCCTAGCTAAGATCTATTTATTTTGCCTATCGTGGCAACTTCGGTATTCAGTGAGATATAGACGACTCCGTGGCGCAGTGGCTTAACAATGAGTGGCTGCGCTGGGGTCGCGGGTTCGAATCTCGCACGGAATAAGTATTTGTATGGCCTACAAATAGTTGTTCCGGGTCTGAATGTTTGTCCTTGTGAAATTTATGTTTGTAAACTGCCCCCACGATACAGGAGAAAATTCTAGTGTAGGGGTAACGTTTTTAAAAAGAGGAAAGAGGAAGATATAAATTCGATGAGTTTTCTGATAATAATTCGATAAAAATAAATGTGTAAAACTTCCTAAAATAACATAAATATAATGTTGGATTATTATATTTCTTTTTTCATTTTTGTTCAAAATTATCATTTATTCTATATATATATATATATATATATATATATGGTGATAAAAACATCGAAACTTTCAATATATCGAACATAAGCATGTTGCATCCTATAGACGTGCTTACACGTAAAAATCACGACTGGAGGTCACTTGAGTTGAAATTCATGCAACTCTAACTAAACTCGAGTTAGCAGCACGAAACAGAGCAAATGATTTATTACAAATTACTTTTATGAATTTGTTTTTATATCTAACTCTTTGGTGGGTTGGGTCAACTATCATTACTAAACTTAGTAGGTACTAAAAAGGTATATTTAGTATGTATTATATACTTGTGTATTTTTGATTTTATTCAATATTAGTAAGTACCTATGTTAAACAAAATTAGCTTTATATCAGTCTTCACAAAACAACATCAGTCTAGTTTTAAGATGTAGGTAAATAAGCTATTTAACCCTTAAACCCTACCCGGGGGTCCAGCAAACCCCAGAGGTTGAATATTTGTAGATATTTTTGCAATAACGAAACGCACTATTGTGCCACTCGAGCTAATCTTTAATTACGTCGTCGGCCATCTTTTCACTAGTCTAGCGTCAACGCTTACACAGTTTAGACGGAATTATAGCTATTTATGGGTCTGTCAGACCCCAGGGTAGTAATAACGTAGTATTTTGTCATTTCTTTTTGTCGATACATTGGTGAATGCAGTTATTTTTGATACAATATTTTAAAGGGTAAGTTTAATATTTGATGTATTTATTACAATAACAATAGTGTTTTTTTTCTTTAGGAACGTATATGAACAAATCTAGCAATTTTGTTGTTTCGTTTTAACAGTTTATTCAATATTGTGTTTTATGTCATTGTTTTAGTTTTAACGATCAAAATTGCGTAAGATGGACCTACAGATCACTCAGTGGTTGCATGAAGACCAATCAGAAGATGAAGAGGCATGTGAAGTCGCTGTTCCTGACCTTGAAAATGATGTTGACGAAGACGGAATTATTGAAGACTTTCGAGCAGAACATCCAGATGATGATACAGAAAATTCTTCATCGGTAGATGACACTCCTCTGAGTAATTACAGTTCAGGTAATTTTCTACGTGTCTTACCTGTCCCTAATAATCTGAAGGGCAAAGACGGGTTTAGGTGGACAGGTGAAAAACCAGTAAAGTCTAGAGTCCCACGAAGAAATATTTTGTTTCATCCTCCTGGACCTAAAGCTGCAGCTCGTGAAATAAAAACAGAGCTGGAAGCATGGAGTATTTTTTTTTCTGATGAAAAGCTTGAAGAAATTGTAAGAAATACAAATGCTGAAATTGGTAAACAGAGAGAAAAATATAAACGAGACAGACCTGTACAGAATACGGAAGACGAAAACGCGGACGCATCGAGTTCCACAAAAATACGTCCTTCTTTTGCTAAGGATGCAAGTGTGGTGGAAATGAAGGCTTTATTTAGACTTTACTACTTAGCAGGGGTACTCAACAAGAATCACGTCACCACCAAGGAATTGTTTGACAAAAACTCAGTTGTTGGCTATTTTCGTGCCACCATGAGCCAAGCCAGATTTGAGTTTCTGATAAACTGTCTGCGTTTTGACGACCGGTCTACTAGAGAAGAACGCCAGCAAAATGATAGATTAGCACCAATTAGAAACATTTTTGATCACATTGTCAAAGTTTCGAGTGAAGTATATAGCCCTTCAGATTGCTGTACATTAGATGAAATGTTATTCGGCTCTAGAGGTAGATGTATCTTCAAAATGTACATTCCGAGTAAACCAGATAAATATGGTATAAAAATTTTGATGACTTGCGATGCTAAAACTGCCTATATGTTAGATGCTTTTGTATATTTGGGCAAAGGCTCGTGCCCTACAAATGTAGCAGCTGCTCATTTTTTTAATTTGAAATTGACTGAAACAATTCATGGCACAAACCGCAACCTCACTTGTGATAATTGGTTCACGTCAATACCGGCAGCAAAAGAATTGTTGCAAAAGCAGGTGACCCTTGTAGGTACCTACACTACGTAGAAACAAGAGAGAAATTCCACTTCTTTTCTTGAGCTAAAAGATCGCGATCGCAACACGGCAAAGTTTGCCTTTACAGGAGAACTTACGCTTTTGTCTTACTGCCCCCCAAAATCTAAACAAAAAAAAAATTGTCCCCATGTTGTCAACTATGCATGCAACAGCAGGTCCTGATGCAACGATTCAAGTACCAGAGATGATAGAGTTTTATAATAAGACTAAATGCGGAGTCGATTTGATGGATTAGCTATGCCACAAGTACAGCGTATCTAGGAGATCAAAAAGGTGGCCAATGGCAATTTTTTTGGCCTTCTGAATAAAGTAGATGTTAATTCATATGTCCTGCTAAAAATGGCCACAAAAAGAGTTACAAAAAGACGTCATTTCTTGAAAATCTTGCCATAGATCTGATCATCCCTCAAATGGAAGAACGATTAACATGGCCCTCTTTGCCCATGAATCTTCAAGTTGTCTTAGGTGGAATCTTGCAAAAGAAGCGGCCATTGCAAGAACCAAGTTCTGATCCCACTGCTAAAAAAAAGATGTGCAATGTGCCCAAGGGATAAGGATCGAAAAACCAAGGTCACCTGTGGCATGTGCCAAAAACCTCTTTGCGGTGAACATACTGAGGCCATGTGCCAAGAATGTGTTACCAAAAACCATTAACAATTTTTTTGTATTGTTGTCTAATAAGCAGATTATTATAATAAATAATAATTGTAATTAAATTGTTTTTTATTTTTTAAGTATGAATTTTTATATAGTGGGGTCCTTAAACCCCTGGGTAGCAATAGTGTTTCTCCTAGAATGGGTAGGGTTTAAGGGTTAATAGTTCAAATATTCTTAAATAACTTAGCTGTCATAAAATTCTATATAACACATTATTATGGTAGTAGCTAATTCTCTTTGTAACACAAAGCGCGCACACAAATACACGCACTTAAATCACTAGAAATCTAAAGTCACAAATAATCTTTGCCTACATTTATACTCTTTTCTTTAAACCGTATTTTGTTTTTCGATATAAGGAGCTAAACTTAATAGCTCCTCGAACTCCTCTTCCCCTATTATCAGGCTCCAGAACTCCGGTAATCGGCATATTTGAGTGATATTACCTAAGTTTTAAATAGTCCTTCACCCATAGCTTTCTTCTAAACACGACAATAGTAAAGAAAAGAGTTCTTTACTATTAATAGTCATGTTTTTTCGTCTTCAAAACGTCCAGTAATAAAATTTTTGCCCTTATCCCACTACATCATGCAAAACATGACGATATATCGATATTAATCACGCAATAATATTGATAGTGTTTAAAAATATCGATTCAATAAATATATATACTTTTTTCACATCCCTATGACCGAGAAAGGGCGTAAAATCAGGGTAGTGTAATAACTCAGGTCCCTAATTTGGGGACACGCCCACCCTTCATCCAGGGCCCTGATTCAGGGTAGTGTAATAGTGGCAATAGTTTTTAAATTCATTTTAGTCCTCAGAGGTGACGAAGCATCTATAGTCTTCGTTCTTTGAAGTTGGTTGCAAGTGTTCACGGATTGCAGAAGCCACTTACCATCAGGTGGACTGCAAGTTCGTTTGTCACTTTAGCTTAAATAAACAAAAAGAAATAATTTAATTATAATTTTAAAAATACCACTGATCCTACTGCCCGTTGCCGATCTGGGTAAGTACAGAACTGTTACCGTCACAGCATATTAAAGTACACTGCTGAACATAGGCCTCTCCCATAGATTGCCACATAGAGGGGACATTTGCTATAGTTGCCACGCTTGGCAATCGTGTTGGCAACTGCGGTTTTCAATTTTAGTCGTTATAAAGAAGACGTTGCTGTCCATCTCCTGATCTCCTTTGTTGCCTCTTACGACACACACGGGATATAGGGTGAGGTAGTGGATATTCTTACAGCACCACTACAGGGGTACAGTCCGGCTGCCTCTAATTATAGTTATACCGCCATCTATCTACAGCCATAAGCAGCTTATTATAATTTTTTGTTAGCATACTTTAATAATTTATATTGTTGCTACTAACATTGTGGGTAATTAATTACGAGTATTTTCATGCTATAAGTCTGCGGGTACATTAATTTTTTAGATTATGTCTAGGTATTTATTTTTGCTTATATTTACAACTAGAATGTAAAACTGTTTAAGATAATTATAAGAAATATAAATAGTGTTTTATAATGTAAAAACTTACGGCTTAATATCCAATTTTATTAAAAACTTGTAACGGAAACCACACAAGCAACGTCATCTGTAGTTTAGCACTGTTTCTTACTAAAACTGTTGAGTGGAGAATACGTACGCAAAAGATAAATTGTGAGTAATAATAATAATTATTGTTATACCTTGTTATTCTGTGTGTCTAAAATGTACATTGTTATGAATGCTTACCGGCGTTATTAGTATTCCTATTGACAACTCAAGGGATGGCTCAAATATTATTATCCGTTACCGACAGGGTATTGCAGTAGGTGATCATAAACTTACTAAATACTAACACAAATCTTTTATCCGTATGTTGAAAACACAATTAATATTTAATTGTTGATATATTCATTGTAGGTTGATATAATTTATGCTAATATTATATACCAAGCCTTTGATTATATACCTGTATATAATCAAAGTACCAAGCATACGATGATGATTTTGAATACTCCGTTTGTGTAGCTTTGTTTAAAACTATTAATGTGTGTGACTAGATTTAAGCCGCTACTCATGCGTGTATTATGTTCATGTAAGTATTTTTTTCGTATTATACGAATTTATGTCTATACATACTAGTGTTCGAACTTCGAATGCGAATCCTTCAAATTTCGAGTCTGTATATTCAGAAAGCTATTTTACGCTTTCAAAAGCACATTACGAGTATTGTACAGATATTTCGAGTACCTATTAGCTTTATCTACGCTGAATCTCGCACGTGCGTAAAGTAACTATATGCTTAAAAAAATGTCCAGGGTTCCTTCTTCACATATAAATAAATAAATGCTTATAGCATTGTAACATACTAAAATGGTCTTTAGTCTTTTATGTATTGTTGTGGTGTACTTGTATTGTCCTTTTGTCTTTATTTCTATTTTAAATACCTACATTGTATTTTCTTTTCGACGTTATTGCACGCGTATATAGTAGTTTATCCGTCTCGAATACAACAGATCAACTTCTCTCGTGGATTATTATTTCTGTTTCAGTTTCGAGATGGAGAAACTAAGGAAATAATAAGGAAGGGTTAAACTCACCTTTATTATAGCAAAACGAGGATCTAAAGCGCGTACGAGGTCGACTTTGATTGCGGAAGCTTGTTCGCAACGACAGTTCAGTCCCGACTGAAGCCGAAGCCCCCGCCGCAATTGTGGCCTTAGCGTTAGCGACCTTGACACCAACCCTGACTCCAACCTATCCAACATACGACTGCCATAGCTTAATAAGCGAATGAAGCTAGTTAGCAGCTGTCGTGACAGTCGCTACACCGTCACTACAGCCCAGCGTCGGCCCAACAATCACCACGAGCGTGGTAATCGCTCATCCACCCAACATCAAAGAGTTGTTGTACGTCGTGTAATCTAGTGAGTGGTCAGTTCAACTGTTCTCCTGACAGCCCTCGACGAAGCAAATCGCCTCGTAACAGGTGCACCAGAACTGGAATTCAAGGTAACTTCAGCGTTCATGAGCCCACAATATCTAAATCTGACAAAAGTCTTAAGCTTTTAATGCATGCATTTAAATATTTAACGGCTTCAGATTCAGATAGAATATGTTCACTTAATAATGGCATACCGGAGTATGGCCCAGCTAGGAAGGAGCAACCAATTACTGATGGTTGCTGAAGCGATCGACAAACTACACTTTATTCTCCCGAAGTTAAAAGGTGTGGTACGAAGGCTTGCCACCTGTATTCTTTTCTGGTCAGAGTGGCAATCTAAATTATTGCGCGCATTGCCATCTGATGTTAATATGTTAGCTAAACATGCTAGGTTTGTGGACACATTAGAGGAATACAATTTATAACTTTGTTAGTGAGGCTGCGGTAAGGTTTTAGAAATCTATACAACATTCTGATCTGAAGTTTGGTGATAGTTTAAATCAATCAGAATTAGATCGCGTTTGATGGTCCTTCTTTACAAATATCGTAAATATTTTACATTGGAACTTTCCAAATTAGGAAATTGCACTTGAGCTGAGTTTTCAATTCGTCTGTACAACAACGACAAACTTGTCGTTTTCAGGCCGTGTAGATTCACAATAAGAGTTAGTCAAAGATTCGATAAAAATGGATTACGACCTGTTGCTTATTACAGCGAACAAACTACTCCGCATAGGTGTAGTAATTTCCCTAAAAATAAAAATCGTGTATATTTGGTAGGAATCCGTTTCAAAATTGTAACAGACCGTGATTCCTTGCGATTCACATTTTTAAAACTGGATAATATGCTACCACGTATTGCTGGTCAGTGAACTGAAATGCAAGAGTCATATTTTTCTATTGAACACATACCAAATATTCTTCGACCAAATATTCTTATACATAAAGTAAATATAATACAAAACCATAAAAACAATTTTACCGCAATCAAGAAATTGATTACAGTGGGTAGAAGTAAAATAATTATTTAAGTACTAATCCGATAAATG